AAATGCCGTATCGGATCGCACCACTTCGACCAAGTGATACTTTCCACGCTCATTCTACGCATACGTGTACTTACAAGTATTTGGACAATATTTAAATAAAGAAAAATGGAAATAAATAGAAATAGAAATATGTGAAATAAATATTTACAACAAATAAAATCAAACATATTTAATTACATATGATACAAATAAATACATAACATGAAAAATGTACATACATAGGGGATTAAAAGAATGTTACAACCCAAAATAAAATGGTCAAAAAGTAAGTATTTAATAATTACAATGACTAACATGGTAATAACAAATTAAAGTGCTAAAACAGAAAAATAGAAAATTAAAAGACTAAAATGGCAAAACAGAAACGTAGGGACTAAAATAGGAATTAAACCGAATGCAAACTAGTGGCTAAAATGAACAGATTTACAAATCTTAGAGTCAAATTTGAACATCAGCCAAAACATACAACATATAAAAATCAATGACTAAAATGAAACTAATACAAACATTGTGGCCAAAGTAAAATATGAGTACAATAATATAACATGGGTTAAAATGTAAACATGCAAACATGGCAAACCATAACGCAAATAAAATAAAATAACTAAGCTTTATAGACAAGTGACTAAACTGTGTAAATTGAAACTACAATATCAGAAACATAAAATAAAGAAACTAGATTAATCAATGGCTACAATAAAACAGAACAAAATCAGTGGTCAATTTTAGAATAAACAGAAACTTAAAGATTCAAACAGTAATTATACCAAATACCAAACAGTGGCTAAAATATAAGAAACATAAATATCATGGCCAAATTCGAATAACACAAAGATTATAAAATACATTGAATCAGTGATCAAATTGAAATATTTGAAAATATTAAAACCAGAATCAAATATAGACAAAATGCCATAAAGCACGGATAGTGACCAACATGTAACAGTGAAAAGATGAAGGCCCAAAGTCAAATAAAATGAAACTTCATTCAATGGTTAAATCGTGAGATTACAAAGCTCAAGGACCTACAGAGTAGTTTACCCATAACTCAAAAAATCAGATGATATTGGGGGCAAAACGACTGCGTTTTGCTCGGCATACCCCCCCCCAAAACCGAGCTCATCTCTCACATTCCCTCATCTCTTCATTTCAACCAAAAACCAGAGAGAAAGAGTTGGAGAGAACTCTCCCAACTCTCTCATCGGAGAAGATGCCAACCGCTGCCGCCGGCGGAGTCCACGGCGACGCACGGTGGCCGGAGGGAACAACCTATCTCAAAAATCCCCTCGTTCTCCTCAATCCAAATCCCCAACCATCTTAGTCTAAAACCCACTCTAGACCCCCAGATCTACAAGTTTACCTTTCGAAGTAATAAGACACCGTCGACCTTTGGTGTTCTCGATGGCTTCCTCCGACCGAGGTAAGGGTTCTATCTTTCTCTCCTTGTTTTTTTTTGTTTGATTTGCTCTTTTTTTTTTTTTTTTTCAAAACCCGAATGCTCTCGTTCTTCTCTCTGTTTTTTTTTTAACCGAATGACCCCCCCCTCCTTTTGACTCTGATATCTTGCTTGATTTATGGTTCATTTTTTTTGCTTCGTTTGGTGAGATGATGATGTCTAGGAATAGGGGAAATTATGGGTTGTTGATTTAGGGTGACCAATTTCCCGATTTACCGGGATTTAGGTATTTTATATTTTAGGGTTTGGATATATATATATTTTTTGACTGATTTGGGTTGATTTGGGACTGATGGGGTTGCTGTGGTTTACTGTAGATGACGATGGTGGCGCGGGAACGGCGGCTGGACCATCGGAGTGGGCCGGAACAGTGACGGCGGCGCGGCTGGAAGTCCAACAGAAGCGGCGGCTGAGCTGATTATTTAGGGTTTTGAAACCCTAATTTTTGTTGGGCTCGTGTTTGGGCCTTGGTTGGGCCTTGGTTGGGCCTTGTTGGGCCTTGTTGTATTGGGCTTTGGCCTGTAAAATATGTAAAATGTAATTAATATAATAATAATAAATAATAATAATAATAATAAAATAACGATAAAAAAAACCCGGACAAAAACGGGCGTCTACATTGTTTATTTTAGATAATTTTGTATGCTTTTTTATTGATAATTTATTTTGATTTCACCTAAAAATTTTAAGTTAATCTCTGTTTGAAATTTTAAAAATTTGTTCAACATAAAATCTTTATCTGATTGTGAATCATTGGTATATAAAACACGTGCAATGACAATATTACAGTCAGCAGGCTTAAGACGTGTTAAGTAATAATGGCAAGAACGAGGTCCAAAACCCCATGAATAAACAAACTAGTAAAGTATTTCAGATACTTGACAGATGCAAGCTGACAAAATTGGGATGGAGACTGAATAAGAAAACGCGTTGAAGTTAACGTTCTTGAATTCTGACGAGCAAGATGTGAAATAGAGACAAATGGAAGAGAGTTAAGAGCAAAGGGATCAATTTGAACATCTATAAATCCGGGAAACATAATCGTAAACTTCAAATCTTAACGCTTTCTGGTATTCAACCCCATGCATATATCGATGAGTTTCAACAGATACACACCGAGTGTTCTTTCATGGTTACTATTATTGTTGCTGGTTGCCAATGCAGAGCCTCAAGAATACAAGACGTACATAATCCATATGGATCATTCTCAGAAACCTTCTTTCTTGACACATGAATCGTGGCATCGATCCACGCTGCACACGGTGTCGAAAACAGCCGATAAACAAGACCAGTTGTTGTATTCATACAAGAATGTTATGCATGGATTCAGTGCCAGGCTCAAGCCATCACAGGTATCCGAAATCAAGAAGTCCGCTGCTCATGTTGCCATACATGAGGAGTCTCTCGGCAAGCTGCTGACTACTCACTCTCCGAAGTTTCTCGGTTTACGACGATCTTCTGGTTTATGGCCAGCTTCATCGTACGGTGAAGGTATGATCATCGGTCTTATCGATTCAGGTGTTTGGCCGGAGAGTGCGAGTTTCAATGATCAAGGGATGCCACCAATCCCTCAAAGATGGAAGGGAAAGTGTGACAATAGTACAACTACCCTTTTCCTTGCAACAGAAAGCTTATTGGCGCTCGTACATTTATTAAAGCAATCCAAGTGAACAACTCGGACCAAACAGACGATTCGGCGAGAGATCACATTGGACATGGGACGCACACATTGTCCACAGCTGGGGGTAACCATGTAGCCGGTGCAAGTCAATTCGGATATGCAAGCGGCCTAGCAAGAGGAATGGCACCTCGTGCACATCTTGCCATGTACAAGGTCTCAAACACAGACGAAGTTGCTGAGAGTGATGTTCTTGCTGCCATGGACCAAGCAATTGCAGATGGTGTCGACATCATGTCGCTGTCTCTAGGTTTTGAGCAAAGTCCATATTTCAGAGATGTCATAGCAATAGGTTCTCTATCAGCCTATGAGAAGGGTATTGTTGTTGTCTGTTCTGCTGGTAATGATGGTGCATATAATTCTACACTGAATGGAGCGCCATGGATTACGACGGTTGGTGCCGGTACAATCGATCGAAGTTTCATTGGAACGGTGACCCTAGGAAATGGACTGATTTTTGAAGGCAGATCAACATTTCCAGAGAGTGTCCTAATAACAAATGTATCTTTCTACCACGGTATAGGTGACCCTATGAAAAAAACATGCCAGTTAGAATCATTAAACAAGAATGAAACCATTGGTAAGGTAGTCTTCTGCGATTATGCTGGAATTACCATAATTGCTAAGCAAATATCTGAGCTTTACCGGATCGGTGCACTTGCGGCTATAATCGTGGCAGACAAAATCCCCTTTGGTACTTTAGATGACCTTACACTTCCCATACTGGTTCTACCTCTTTCTTCTGGAGGTTCGGTTCGAGAGTATGTTAAAGTTGAGCCTAAACCGGAAGTGATGTCCATGAGATTTGTGCTCACAAGTTTAGGTACAAAACCTGCACCAGAAGTGGCTTATTTCTCTTCAAGTGGACCAAATCCTATAAGCCCTGGCATTTTAAAACCAGATGTCATTGCTCCCGGTGTCGATGTGCTTGCTGCAGTCCCACCGTTTCCGAAAATAAGAATCGGCGACTATACTTCGGTGACAGAATACGCACTCAGTTCGGGCACATCGATGTCAACCCCACATGTAGCTGGTGTGGCAGCTTTGCTGAAAGCAGCGAGCCCGAACTGGAGTCCAGCAGCCATCCGATCGGCTTTGATGACCACTGCCTATACCATCAACAACAATGGAACTACTTTGACAAATCAATTATACGATGGCCCTGCAACACCTCTAGATTACGGTGCCGGTCATATCAACCCCAACAAAGCAGTGGACCCCGGACTCATTTACGACATGGATACACAAGATTACATCGATTTCCTATGCGGCCTAGGATATAACGACACGGAGATGAGAGCAGTTCTTAGACGAAATCAATGGAACTGCACCCAAAACAAGACCGACCTGAATTACCCGTCGTTTGTTGCGGTGTTTAAAGAAGAACCCAACTCTCCAAGAGTAAAGAACTTTTCCAGGGTGGTTACTAACGTGGGAGATGATCAATCAGTTTTCCAAGCTGTGATAGGAAACTCCACATGGTTGAGAGTCATTGTTGAACTGAACACACTGACGTTCACGACGAAATATCAAACACAAAGTTTCGTTGTGAGTGTAGAGATTGACGGAAATGCTCCTCCGGAGCCGACTTATGGTTATCTCAAATGGATTGATCAACGCAATCGGATAGTCTCAAGTCCTATAGTGGCCCTGATTTCCTGACCTTTGATCACCGTTCATTGTTGGATTTTGTATGTTTTAATTGTCATCATGTTGCACAAAATGATACTAATTATTAATAATATAAAATAATTTTAAAACTTTAATCAACCTAGTATTGCTTATAGAAAAATTTCTACGAAAAGTTATGCTCAGAAAAAAAAAGGACGTTATAATGTAAAGAAATTCAATAATATATGCCAACAATGGGCGGATGATTCATACATAAAACTACTAGAAAATGAAAAATGTTGAAACTAAGCTTTGTTGTTCCCAATTCTTCAGACATTTGTGTCATCTACCCAGAAAGATAGCCTCTTTTTGACATAACTGGGAAGTAAAATTTATTGCCGAAGTCGCCATGGATTGATTATCTACGAACGAAAACCGTTGGCTGCATACGACGCACTTGAAGGCATCTAGTTTCAATGAATTGCAGAAGCCAAGCCACAAAAATTCGATGTCGGATTTTTTCTCTGACCTGAGGAAGAACTAATTGCCTGAAAACAACCAGTCTCTCATTTGGTCAGACCTGATATCTTACAAATGGGGCACAAGTTTTTGTGCATCAGCCATTGTTTAATGCAATCAGCATGGAAGTCGTGGCCACATTCCAGTGTCCCGATATCTTCTCCATCATTATATTCTTCCTGCGAGTCCGTCAACAATTATTTTCGGGGTTTGTAAAATCAGTTAAGAAAAATGCAGATGAGAAACCCATTACCTGACACACACAACACGGTTCGGCCTCTAACTGAGCTCCTGATGCACCAGAGTTCTTTCGTTGTTTCAGACGTTTTAATATGGTTTCTTCACTCAACCCTGTGCTTACGTTACCAATGCGTTCTTCCAGAGCCAATAACTCCTATTACTCGTAAAGAAATTCATCTGTGAGAATTTTCAAACACGGGAAGGATAAAAGAATTCAAAGAATATAGAAACTACCTCATATGACATGTTATCAACATCGAGCCGCATATCCCTATGCCGATCATGAATATCAGCTACCCCTAAAAGTACTGATTGATCAAGGATCATAACATCCTGCAGACAAGCAGAAACAGAAGAGAAAATGTCGCTTGTTTGGGGAAGGAAAAAAATGCCGATCACGCTTCCATTTTTCAGTTGGTGAAAATAGAGCTGCATCAAATTACACCATAATTAGTAAAATCCTTACCTCAAACCGCAAGTTCTCCCCTCTACGCATGAGATCCAAGACATTGCGAATCTGCCCCAAAAACAAAATGTCAGATCAAATAAAGTGCGAGAATTTTGGATAAAAATGCCCAAATCCATGCCTTTCAGACAAATGCAATTAAGGGAAAACAGCAACATGTTAGCATTGCTCTATCAAACAAGGAGTTTCCTTTATATATACCAGATATGTGATATCCAGTGACAATTAGATCGACAGCAAATCAAGTAGTACTGTTAAGGGAATCGGGATTGTACTTTTTTATCGTTTGAATTTGAAGGGAAATAGAAGCATCACAATCAGAAAGGATGGAGTTCAAAGGCAGACCTCAGATGCAACAAGCCTGCTTCTTCCTTCAGTGGCAAAAGCTAAAGTTCGCAACGAGTGCGGAACTCCAACCAAACCAGCATCTTGTCTCTCCACCCATGGAAATGACCTAGGATATGAACGATGGAGAGCCTGATTACTTACTCGAGAGGAAAGCATCATCTCTTCTGGAGAGGCAGTAGGTTGACAAGGAAGTGAGGAATGATTGCTCTGGCCTCCAGATTCAGTGCCAAGGGAAGACATTAACGGCTGACAAACAAGTTCTGACAACCTTCGTGGATATTGCGAAGAGGAACTGGGATGAGGAATCCCAGTAGATGCGGACGTTGCATTGACACCAGAATTTGAACCAGCACGGGAAGCAGAAGCAACATTTCCAGGAGGACTTATACTTCCACTGCTCAAACCAGGATTTCCAACTAAAGTTCTTAATTCTGGTGCAGGAATCAACATACGATGATCTAATAGGTTTCTGGCACTTCTTGATTGATGTCTTTCTCGTGGTACATCTCTATCAGCAGATAGGTTAGAATTTGATGAATACCAAGTTCTCGAGCCAGAACCTCCATTTTGAAGCAAAGTTGGGACATTAATTACAACATTCGGGTTTTCAGAACTTGCATAATGTACCACTCGTGCCGAACTTAAGTCCAGAGAATGATCAGTTGGAAGAAGTCTTGACGACTGAGGTGCAAAGAAAGTAACAGACTGACGGACTATATCACCTGTAGAAAGTAGCGGACGAGCAATAGGTTCTTGTAGACTAGAAGGATTTATTCTCAGTCGGAAATTCCCGTGTGAGTTCTCTGCAGTTGGTGGTAAAACAATTCGTTCGGGAATGCTATCAGATGTTGATCCTCTGATGTCTAATCCAAGTCTAGGATGCGCCTGTCTTGAGGGGGGAGACATATTCACATTGCTTCCAGCAATATAGTTAGCAGAAACACCATGCCACGCACCAATTTCTGCTATATTATAGTAGCCAGAACTTCCACTCGAAGAGGACTGCCCAACATTTCCTTCCACAGCCTTTCTTTTGCATGACGTACGACGATCCTCATATGAGCAACCAGGTCTGCTATCACTATCATCCACAACATACCCAGCACTTCCGGAAGCAAGTAGAAATGCTTCAGGGCCAGCACCCAGAGAACTCTGCTCATTTTCGGATCCACTAGGCTTATAAATGTTAGACCATTCTGTAACTTGACAGTTATTATCACCATGACCAACTAATCCAGCATTTAACCTTTGATTCTCAGGAACAGTATCAGAATTGGAACTTTGCATAAATACAGAGTTCTGTTCGTACCTCCGCCCGTCTAACCTCGGACCAACATTTGCTGAAGCACCCATAGACAATGACCATCCATGATCTGTTTTCCGCTCATTATACCCGACCTCATTTTGCATTCCACTAGAGCTAGGCTCTCCCAAGCTCCATCTACCCAGCTGCTCTTCTCGACCAATAGGGCTCACATATCCAATGTTCATGTCATCAGATGCCATCAAACAATTAGGCAATCTATTTTCCATAGGATCTTGAATATTATTCCAGTAAACCTGCTGTTCAATAGCAGCATTAGTAGATGTAGAACTATGATCAAAGAGGGTTTCAGGCAAGGAAGGGAGAGTACCCCTTTGCCCTTGCATTATGACTCGTATGAATTTCCGTACAACTATACTGAAACCCTGAAGAATATTCCAATACAAATTGTAAGTAACCAATAGGCACAACAAGCAAAAGAGAAGCAGTGGCATTTAAATGATTCAAGAAAAAACTAGCATATAAAAATACAAAAGAAAAGAAAAGAAGCTGCATCTAAAATCTAATATCCAATAGTAATAATAATATAACAACTCTGCAGAAGCAAGACAACAACCAGAATTTATAAGCAAATGCAGTGATTAGTAGGAACCAGTAGCATGGAGACAATGTAACTATATCAACAAAGACACTAATTCGCTCAGTAAAGCATATCATCAACAAAGAGCATTTCCGTAGCCTATCTTCACTTCACTAGCGGCCTAAAATTTCATATTCTCATATAATTTAGATATTTTCTTTGTATTTTTTTTTATTGATAATCTGTTTTCATCCCTCGAATTTTCTAAATTCGCCCTAACATAAAATCCTGGTGGCGAGTAATCAATCCTAACGAGAAGTAATCTAACATTCTAATCCACACACGAAACTCAGACATCTCTATGCATCACAAAAGTATAAACATCATCTTAAATTCGGTGAGCAAGCAAAACATTCGAGGGGAACCCAAACTAAACAAAAATAAGCATCCACTAACAGCACATATCAACTATGGACCAAAAGAATGCAGACATCAAATAAGGTTCAACTTTCCTCTCTGCGCCATATAGAACAAAAGGCAAAAACAAAATACACACAGAGTGGCTTTATCATGTGAAAACAGCAAAGAGTTACATAGTCTAAACACAGAACATGAAGATCTCGAAAATGAAAAGAGAAAAAAAAAACCATAAAAATCAAAACTTCAAAAAGGACAACAATACCCCATCAAACCAAAAATTTCAAAAAAAGGGGCGGGGGGGGGGACAACAGAGAGGATATCCTCTATTTCATCTGACCATCAACCGATCAAACAAATATGAACATGAAAAAAGCACCCCAGAAGGCTCGCCAGACGTATAAAAATGAAAGACCTTGATCGATCTGAAAGAATCTTAACAATAAGATGAAGGATTATACCACAAAACCCGGATGAAAAAAAAGCGCTCTCGAGCTATTCTCCTCTCCTTTCTCAAGAAAAGGAAGAGAGAGAGAGAGAAGAAAAAGAAAATCCAACAATATGAGCAAAAGAAAATACCTTTGGATGATTAAATAGAATAAGAAATGAAGCACTTCTATACAAGAAACAAAGATAGAGATTAAAAAGGACAATAATACGTAATTTACCGAATAACTCACAAAGAGAAGAGCAATAATAAGAGGTAGGCAAAGGTCATAAAGAGAAGCTTCCTAACAAAGAATTGAATAACAAAAAGCAATAAAGACGAATACAGTACACAACACCAGCAACAACAAGAAGTAGCTGAAAAAGTCTCCTGTGGGGCCGCTCACCAAATGGTTTTCACGTCTAAATCTTGCTTTTCATTGTTAGATTTTGCCCCTTTCTTATCTTCTCATATTCAAATGAAAGAAAGAAACAACCTTGGACCTTCACAGTCCTCTAAAACTAAACGTATAAATAAAATAATGGGTATATAAGCAAGACCCGTCTCCTAGTGCGGTTCGTAGGCAAAGCCCCACAAAACAAAACACTACCCCTTGTGTTTTGTATTGTTGTTTCCATCACTTTTCGCGCCAAGTACTTCCACTTACACCTGTCCTTCCCTTTAGGCTTTATTTAAACCCCCCCCCCCCCCAACCACATGCATCTCTCCTCACCGCTTGCTTTACCCCTCAGCAACCTCTCTTTGTTTGCGACAAAAAAACTAACCTATCAAATCTTATACATCTGGTTTATATACATGACTACATGATTTGAACCCTGGTTTCTTCTACACGACTACATGTATAAGATTGGGTTCAAATCTTTATTTGTGACCAAGAATAAAACACCCTAACAAAATCTGACCATCACAAATTGAAGAGGAGATTATATAAATATGATTTGAACCTTGGTTTCTTCTACATGATGACATGCAAACGAAATAGCACTACAGTAAAATTGTTCTACAGCAGTATTTTTAGCAACGTTTTGAGAGTAAACGCCACTAATATTTCGACGTTTACATTTCAAACGTCACAAACTGATAACATTAACGGCTTTTTATACAAATGACGTAATAAAATTAATATATAATGGTGTTTTTTTAACAAACGTCGCAACAGAGTAATACTTTAGTGGCCTTTTTATACAAACGCCACAATAGTGTTAATCTATAGTGGCGTTTTTTCAATAAATACCGCAATAAAGTAGTACTTTAGCATCGTTTTTATATAAACGTCGCAATAAGGTTTATCTGGCGTTTTTTCAAAAAATCCCGCAACATATTAATACTTTAACGGTATTTTTTTACAAACGCCACAATAATTTGGTATGTTTGTGGCGTTTGGTCTTAAAAACGCCGCAGATTTTACGTATAACCTTATTTGATTTCTATCTCACGTAAAAAATTTAGAAAAGCATAAAAAAGTAAAACCCTTTTTGTTTAAGCTCTCCCCTCCTACTTCTCTACACGGTCTCCTCTCCCTTAAAGACCAAGAGTGAAACCGTTGAAGGCTCCAGGCCACCTCGAAACATCGTTCATTAGTGCAGCTCTCTCATTATGGCCGAAAATCGATGGCCACTAAGAAGACTCCCAAAGCCTAAACCGAATAAAACCCTAAATTTCCCTCGTCGAATCTCCAAAAAAAAAGGATCTTGATTATAAACCGAAACTTAAGAAATCTATAAATCCACTCACTCCTTGCTCCGACAACCCTCGGTCTACCCCCTCTCGATGACGAGCGACGAACAATGACGATTTCTAGCTTCGGTGAGAGGTTCAAGCGAACGAGGTAACAGTCCCCTCTCCCTTCCTATTTCATTGGCCCCCAAAGAAACAAAATGACCCCTCATTTTTTACAGTTCTCAGTTTCATTTTGCCTTGACTGCATAATTTTTTATTTATTTTATTGATTTATTTTCGATATGTTTGATTTGGCAAACACATAAATCTGATTGACAAGAAGATCCCATGGCCACCACTGGAAACAAGAACATCAATGCTAAATTAGTTTGTTTTCTATCTCTCACGATCCTTTAAACCCTCATTTTTTTTAATCACTTGAATTTTCTGCGCTTTGGGTTGGCTTTAGATGCTGAATTATGATCTGGGTATTGATGTATGATGCTTCATGTTTGCTTTTTATGTGAATTATTTATGGGTTATATTGAATTATGAATCCTACCTGATTCTGACTCCCTTGTTTACTGTAACTACTGGATGTGATTTTGTTAACTCGTTCACGTGGAGGTCAATTAGATCAGTGACTATGTTAATAGCATCATGGTGAATCTTAATGCACTTTGAACTTTTCTTAATCTTCTTGTGTTAAGCTATTAATGATTTGTTCTGATTGCTTATGATTCTATGTTGCAACTATGATTAAAAAGTATGTAACCTTGGTTGTTTTCATGAACGACAACCTTAGAAAGGTCAAGCTATTCTAAATTCTTGGTTGTGTTCTTTTTAACCTTAAAAATTATATTGCCACAACTGAGAAACTTTAGCTTTGTATCATGAAGCTGAACTCTATTGAGTGATTGGTAAACTAGATTTGTTGGCAATTTGCAGCCACATTTAGAAGACTTGTGGTGGAGGAATGAAGTTGAGAAAGTTGAATAAAATGGAAGAAAAGTAACTGGAATGTACAAATTTAATATAATGGGTTCTATTTAATTTTCCAAAAAACTAGTTCCCAATATCACTTTCCAAGGATGCAGATCTTCCATAGATTTCAAGAAGATACGAGTTTGGGCCTTCTGTCTTGCTCCTAACCATTCCACACGTATTCATGTATGCATGATAAGTGGTGTATATTATTTCAAGCCATTAAGCGACAAACGTACTAAAAAGCTTTTTTATTATATATATATATATATATATATATTCTTAGATTGAATTCCTAATGTGCCATGCAGTACACCTATGAAAAGCGAGAAACGTACTTACACTCTAATATTTTCGTTTCAAATATTTTTATGAAGTACATATTACATTCAAACAAGATAAAAATCTTTGCGTTTTGTAGAATAAAATTTAGATGAACCTATTACTGGTACTAGTTCACAATTCCAATGGGTTCGGGATGACATGGATGAAGATATTTATGAAAATTGGTATGACATAACAATGTAGTTAGATTTTATATCTTAGTTGATTAAATTATAATTTTATCATTTATATATGTTGATGTCGTCGAATATATATATTAATAGTATTGTTCTCGGTATTTACTAATATTGTTGTTTGTTTATTGCAGATATTATGCCTGGGAGAAAATTAAGTGATCTACGATTTTTCGAGCTTCTCAATATGAGGAAAAAATAAATAATGAAGAGTCGATTGGTGTTGGATCTACAGAAGTTCCGAATATAGTTGAAGAAACTATAGAAATTGAAGGTAATCGACTCTTTATTTAAATGGTGACTGATTTTCTTATTGAATTGATTTTGAAAACCTACACTAAATTATTTTTATGTAGATGAAAATGGTCAAAGGTGCATAAGTAGAGGTCGTACGATAATGAAGGAATTGTACCAACTTCCTCTTCGGGACCGCGTGAGAGTTTCAAGTAATGATGTCGATCAACCTATTGGGACAAAAGCACGAGTTCTATCAGGTTACCTAGGCATTATTGCACGCAATGCAAGTCTTCTACCGATCAATTATGAGTTATGGCGTGAGATGCTGAATAGTAGCAAAAACCAGGCTATGGATTGCATTAATGTATTAATTTCATTGTAATAAATAATTCATTGTAGTTCAATAGTAATATATATTTACTTTCAACACTTGTGTAAATTATAGGAGAAATTTTCTTTAGAGGTCTCAGATGATTATTTGAAGCAAGCGTTGGGAAAGAAATGGAGAGACCACAAGAGTTTCTTAAAAAATAAATATTTTAAGAACAATCTCAACCTTAAAGGAAAGCTGCAAAATGTCCCACTTGGAATGCTCAAATATCAATGGAAAGATACAGTCAGGTTTTGGAGTTCAAAGAAAAGAGAGGTATGACGTACTTTAAAAATAATATTATGTCACTATATTATTAACTTTATAAGTCATGTGGAGTTCAAATTGTAGGACCGAGAGCACGTTGGTGTTGTTAGCAGACATCAACAAAAGTTTACTCACACTGCTAGATTGAAGAGCTTTGCTCATGTAGCTCATGAACAAATATTCTTTTTTTTAATTATGAGTATTCATATAGCCATTTTAAGTTGGTAGCATATATTAATTAACATTTTTTCTATTATTTATTACTTTTTTGTAAGTATTAATTTATATTCTACATTGTAGGAAATCATGTCCGGCAATAGAGTTGGAAGAATAAAGCTCTTCGAAATGACATATACAAAAAAAGATGGCTCTCATGTTGCTCCTGAAGCGACAGAAATTATGGTATATTTACTGGACATAAAATTTTCATTATGTTATATTTATAGTATAACATTTTTATTTTAAATAATGTTTGAATTTGTTCTAAATTCTTAACTGATTATCAGGAAATTTGAGCGATAAAAGGGTAGAGTATGAAGCTATGGCTTCATCCCATGCTTCTATTAATGCAGACGAGATTGAAAATCAAGTTATTGCTGAAGTTTTCGGGTCTTGAAACATATGGTCAAGTTCGCTGTCAGGGATAATTCGTTACTCCAACCAAATATTTTGGATTCAGCTCATCTCAGTACATGCCATGACAACTAGTTTTCTTAACAAGAAGTTAACCGATTAAAACAACAGTTGAGTCAAGTCGATGAAAAAATTGCGCAAATGAAAGTCGAAGCTGAAGCGAGAGAAGCGAGAGAAGTAGAGAGCAGGGAGAGAAGCAGAGAGCAGCGATAGAAGTAGAGAAAGCAACAATATTTCAGAAAAAATATGAATAAATTCAAAAACAAATTGAAGCTATGAAGCATATGATGCAGCATAATCAAACGAAGAATTCAACATCCTATGTGTTTTCATAGGTTAACGCTTTGTTTATGTTATTGAAAAATGTTGAATTACATTATATTTAACTTGGATGTTTGTAAACTTTGATTTATTTATGTTTTTATGTAT